CACAAGAGATCACAATAATATATTCTGTTTCTTTTGGACCATATTGTCTTAAGCTACCATTATTTCCAGGTATTTGAGGGGTCTAATGGGCACCTTCAATGAGAGGGCAGAGAAGCTGATGGATAAACTTACAGATGTTGCTGATAACAAAACAGACGCCAACATGCACCACCTAGTCAACTGTGTTACCCTTGATGTCATTGCAAAGGTAATGTGCCAGGGTCTGTTTTTTTTTAACGTGGCGAAAGCACCAGCTTAACACAATCTAATGAAGTTGTAACTATTTTATTATATACATACATTTTATACATATGTTTTCTTGATAACTCTCAGGTTGCTTTTGGTGTGGATTTAGACCTGCTGAAGAATAGTTCACCTTTCCCTGCAGCCATTGAGACGTGCCTGAAAGGGATGGTGTACTATCTCAGAGACACCTTTTTTGAGGTAGGACTTCCCTGCAAGTTTATGTGGCGAATATATGGGAAACTGTGTGAGATCCTAAAATCTTGCATTTCCAGTTCAATCCAAAGAACCGACCATTCATTAATGAAGTGAGAGAAGCTTGCCGCCTGCTGCGCACCACTGGAGCTCAGTGGATTAATGACAGAAGGACTGCCATGCAAAACGGCGATGACGTCCCCAAGGACATCCTCACGCAGATCATCAAAAGTGCTGACAAAGGTGATAGTCCATAAAATTCAGATTTGATTACATAAGAAGAAAGTCCCTGTGTTGTAATGCGGTCATAGCAGTGGAGAATAGAATAATAAATAATATAAGACGTACATATAAAATACAAGCATCCTCAACTCAACATGCGAAGCATTTACTTTTCTTATTAGATTTGCAGAGCAGAAGTGCAAGATAAAGTTGCAACGTTCATTTGCTATGTTTTTGTATTTTTCCAGAGGAAAACATGTCTAAAGAAGATGAAGAGTTAATGTTGGACAATTTTGTGACATTTTTCATTGCGGGTGAGTCTGTGTTGTTTCTGCCTTTATGTGTGAAATGCGGCACATAAATAAAAATAAAAGTCCAAAATGCCCCCTGCCCCCCTTTGTGGTTTAAAGATACAGAATATAATCAGTTTAATGTGTGTTAGTTGTTGATCCATGTTTATGCCTTTTAAAGGTAATGTTCTGATTAATTTTGCCTTCTCTTAGGGCAAGAAACAACAGCTAATCAACTGGCTTTTTGCATCATGGAACTTGCAAGACATCCTGATATACTGGAGAAGTGAGAACTAATAATTTTGTGCAATACAGTTTCATAATGGAGCTATTAAATTATGGTTTCCTGAGTTGTGTTTTTATTTCTCAGAGTGAAGACGGAGGTGGATGATATCATTGGGATGAAGCAGGAAATCAGTTATGACGATCTGGGGCAACTGATCTACCTCTCACAGGTACATATCATGAAGTTAGGAAAGTTAGGTTCAGCTCTTTAGGAGTGAAGCATGTGAATCCATTGTGCAACGTGCTCTTGTGTTCAGTTACTCACTGACTCTTAGCCTATACAACATGTCTTCTTATGTTCAGAATGAGGGATGGCTTCATCTACTGGTGAGACCAAGATCATTCACTTGGCTGTTCCTGCAATTGTGCTTGAATGAACTTATAGGTGCTGGTCATATAATTAGAATATCATCAAAAAGTTGATTTATTTCAGTAATTCCATTCAAAAAGTGAAACTTGGATATTATATTTATTCATTACACACAGACTGATATATTTCAATTGATGATTAAAACTGACAACTAATGAAAATCCCAAATTCAGTATCTCTGAAAATTAGAATATTACTTAAGACCAATACAAAAAAAGGATTTTTAGAAATGTTGAACATGAGAAGTATGAGCATGTACAGCACTCAATACTTAGTTGGGGCTCCTTTTGCCTGAATTACTGCAGCAATGCGGCGTGGCATGGAGTCGATCAGTCTGTGGCACTGCTCAGGTGTTATGAGAGCCCAGGTTGCTCTGATAGTGGCCTTCTGCTCTTCTGCATTGTTGGGTCTGGCATATCGCATCTTCCTCTTCACAATACCCAATAGATTTTCTATAGGGTTAAGGTCAGGTGAGTTTGCTGGCCAATTAAGAACAGGTATACCATGGTTCTTAAACCAGGTACTGGTAGCTTTGGCACTGTGTGCAGGTGCCAAGTCCTGTTGGAAAATGAAATCTGCAGCTCCATAAAGTTGGTCAGCAGCAGGAAGCATGAAGTGCTCTAAAACTTCCTGGTAGACGGCTGTATTGACCATGGACCTCAGAAAACACAGTGGACCAACACCAGCAGATGACATGGCACCCCAAACCATCACTGACTGTGGAAACTTTACACTGGACTTCAAGCAACATGGATTCTGTGCCTCTCCTCTCTTCCTCCAGACTCTGGGACCTTGATTTCCAAAGGAAATGCAAAATTTACTTTCAGCAGAGAACATAACTTTGGACCACTCAGCAGCAGTCCACTCCTTTTTTTCTTTAGCCCAGGCGAGACGCTTCTGACGCTGAGTCTTGGGTGCGGTTATCCCTAATGTTTGTACACTTTTTTTCTACCACACCTTTTCCTTCCCTTCGCCTCTCTATTAATGTGCTTGGACACAGAGCTCTGTGAACAGCCAGCCTCTTTAGCAATGACCTTTTGTGTCTTGCCCTCCTTGTGCAAGGTGTCAATGGTCGTCTTTTGGACAGCTGTCAAGTCAGCAGTCTTCCCCATGATTGATTAGAGTGTGGCACCAGGTGTCTTCAATATTGAACTTTTTCACAATATTCTAATTTTCTGAGATACTGATTTGGGAGTTTTCATTAGTTGTCAGTTATAATCATCAAAATTAAAAGATATAAACATTTGAAATGTATCAGTCTGTGTGTAATGAATGAATATAATATCCAAGTTTCACTTTGGATTGGAATTACTGAAATAAATCAACTTTTTGATGATATTCTAATTAAATGACCAGCACCTGTAAATGTATTTTTTTTAATTTTTTAAGCATATGACCCAAGATGTGCACCTCACACTGTAACCTTCCCCTAGGTTCTAAAAGAGACTCTGAGGATTTACCCGACTGCTCCAGGCACATCTCGTGACGTACTGGAAGACATATTCATTGACGGTATCCACGTACCGGGAGGAGTCGCATGTTTTGTGAGTCATTCACTTTTGAGTGTGTTTGTACCTATAAAGCAGGAAGTGTGTGTCAGAACCCAAATTATTTTAATTGTGTTTCTTCTTTATATACTGTACATAAAGTACAATGCTGCCCCTAAACTTTAAACACACAACAAAAGAAGACATTTTTAGAATACTGACAGGATTAACAGTGGCCTGCCCTCAAAATGTTCACTACATTATTTTGAAATTCAGTTTAGCAGCTATGTGAATGGGAGAATGGATAAATTCTTCAAGGACCCACTCACATTTGATCCAGACAGATTTCACCCAGATGCTCCCAAGTAAGTAGCATACAATTTTCATATGATGACATACTTTGTTTTTAGTCACAACATGTTGAAACACTGATCGTTGTTCCATATAAAAGGACAATGCAGTGTATTGAGTGACGCTGTTTCTTATCTGTTTTACAAGGCCTTATTACTGCTACTTCCCCTTTGCCCTCGGCCCACGCTCATGCCTGGGACAAAACTTTGCTCAGGTAGGTGGTGACGGTCATAAATAATCAAGACAAACGCACACAAAACATCACAAGACGTTAATTCCAGATGCGTGGTGGGGTGATTACAGATGGAGGCTAAAGTGGTGATGGCCAAGCTGCTCCAGAGGTTTGACTTCACCCTTGTGCCGGGTCAGACCTTTGACATCCTGGACACTGGCACACTCAGGCCGAAGAGTGGAGTAGTGTGCTCCGTGAGACACAGGAATCACAGGAAATAAATGCTCAGACAGCACCACAACATAAGAAGAAACCAACTGCCTGCTGCAATTATCACTGCCGAGTTGTTTTATTACTTTTTTTTTATTAATTTGTTTTAGCCTTTGTAAAAAAAATAATATCAATGCTTGTTATAATGGTGTGCACAGTGTTATGATGTTTTTAATGTTCTTACAATTATAAGGATATGGGGAAATGTTTGAGTAGCTTACAGTATCATTAGTACTTCAATCTTGGCGGAACTTAACCCTTCATCTCTGTGTAGTTGTTCTTCCATACTCACTGAGCTTCTTAACACGTTTTGTGCCTTTAACACTAATACAAAAAAATGAATTTACCACTTTAACACAAAACTAACCACAGAAGATGATAAAGCCTTGTTTTAATCATACAGAAATAACTTGCTACTATGTGGTTATTTTAGCACTTTAATAAATTAATAATTGATAAAAATGCCTAACAGTCTGATTTGTTCAGTGCTCAGTTTGCTGTGAAGGGATTTTGTTATGTACTCAACCTACTGTGTTTTTCTCCATTACCGAAAGTGGACACACGGTGGCGCTGGTGACCTTGCAAAGAAATTTCAAAAGCACCTGTGAAACTACAATGCTGAGAGAAAGTTGTCACTCATCTAAGCTTCTTTTCAGGAGTTTGTGTTCATATGTTTATTTAATATTTAAGATGAGGTTTTTAAGTGGTGAATCACATTGTAGTGGGAGGGTGATGTCAATATAATGGGGGTTAAAGTCGTTTGTAATTTTAAAATAATTAGTAATTGGGCCAATTACTTTACAGTTTTTTTCATGTTTTGCTTAAAAATGAACAAATACTTGAACTAGCTTAAACTAACAGAAGTGAGTTAACGTTTATGAATATTAAAAGCTAAATATACCACACAAACCTTAAATATATGTATTTTATTTATTCGTATTTAGTTTATTGATGTAATATTTCAAATTTTAAATGCGTTCTAAGCTAATAGTCAAGTGCTTTGTTGTTGTCTTTTATAAGTAATATGTTTTCCCTGTCCTGGACGTGTGGTACTGTTCCTTTAAGAGGGCCGAGCCTGTGCCTTGTGAGGCTTCACCGCACATTTCATCTACCTGCTGCCCGCTCCTCTCCCACGTCGTGATTGGCCGTCTTGGCCGAAAGCCTCTTGAATGATTTCAAACCCGAGTGTTTGGACACGGAGGAGGAGGTGGAGGGGGGGCTGTGCTGACAATTCCGAGCTGGCTGAGTGGAAGGGCTTGAATCCTCCGTCCACCAGCACGCCACCTCAGTAAAGAGGCTTATCCGAGGAGCGTTGTTGACTGCAAACGCGTTCAGATATTTTCTTTTTAAAAAGTGGGCTTTTAGAGGTGTCCTGTTTACGCGAATATTCATCGATTAGCTGAAAGTGGGCTTTAGCTAACATTAAAATACCAAATTTGTTGGATTTTCTGTTTACTATCCTTTGAATGGAGCAATGTCCAGCGGAGACGGCGCACATTGCGGTGGGACGCGGTATGATGTGCTGACGGGACTCTGCGCCGGGGACCTGATTGAAAATCACTGGTAATCGATTGAAAATCATATGTTGGTGTTACTGACGAAATGTGAGTAGGCTACCCGCAGTTGTTTCCGAGTTTCATAACGGATTTTCCTTCAAAAGATTAGTAAGGGCATTCAATTCATGCACGGGTTGCCATAGCACCATTAATATTTTCCCTTTCATTATCTGTCTGCTGAAGAGGAGGGCATAACGATACTTTAATATTTTGGACAATGTATTCGTATTTTAACACAATTCCGCAATTGAGGCTTGGTTAAATGACTTTTGATAGTTAATTTCAAGCCGCCGTTTTAACGAACTGAGACTCACAGCCATGGCTAAAAATCCGTCCGAGGGGCCGAGGGATGAACTGAGCCAGCTGACGGACGAGGAGCTGCTTCGGTGCAGCAAAGAGGAGCTGGTCCGGAGATTGAGGAGGGTTGACAGCGACAAAATGAACTTGATGATCGACCATGGCAACATGATGAAAGACATCAATCGGCGGCTGCAGGTGCATCTGCACGAGATCCGGAGCCTGAAGGAGATCAACCAGAAGCTGCAGGACGACAACCATGAGCTCCGGGAGCTCTGCTGCTTCCTGGACGACGACCGACAGAAGGGCAAGAAGCTGTCCCGAGAGTGGCAACGCTTTGGCCGCTACACTGCCAGTGCCATGTGGAAAGAGGTGGGAACCTACATGATGAAGCTGAAGGAGCTGGAGGCCAACCAGGACACCGTGTTGAGGGAGAACACTGAGCTGAAGGAGATCATCCTCATGCTGGACGAGGAGAGGAACGGAGCAGGCTCCAGGAGCTCCATAGACAGTCAGTCCAGTTTAACCAACCTGAACGGTGGCACCGGCACGGTCAGGGATGTTGGAGACGGGAGTAGCACGTCCAGCACTGGGAGTGCTGGTAGCCCCGATCACCACAATCACAACCACATACACAAGCCCTCTTCAGAGAACAGTAAGATGGGCCCCACCATGAGGAGGTCCATGGATGACCTGTCAGCACCGCACCATCACAGGAGCATCCCCAATGGACTTAATGGTGAGTACACACACTCCTTGCACCTGTGGAAACACACCTTGCTGTCATAAGCCACATGCAGACTTAACACATGCCCTGCAAGATGCACATCTTAAAGTCCAACCAATCAGGCCAGACATCAGTTCCAAAATAAAAGTTTTTTTTGGCCCTATTACATTTAACACTGGCAACTTGGCCCTTTCAATTTTATTTTTGTGTCCAAAAGTTACTCTCATGGGCTGGGATGGATGACCTACAGTTACTCCTGATTTAAAAGATCTCCAAGACAAGGGGCATAAGTTGTTGCCCATTTGAGGCGTCTTGAAATTGTAGTTGATTTCTTGAGGTTCAACTCTCCAGTAGGCCAGTGGCTGTGAGAGATCAGAAGAATACAGGTGTAATACTGTATTCCTCTGCCTTGGTTTCACAGCTCTTAGATGCAGTCAGGATGTGTTGTGTAGTTACCATGTGTGATTGCACTGACAACATATGCTGATCAAAATTGCTGTGAAGGATTAACATGGGTGGGGGGTCTTGGGTTAATCTCCCTTTAAAGTCTTGATTGGGGTGATTATAACACACACACATATGCGCGCACAGCATCCTTAAGTGGCCTTTTCAGTCCCATGCTACCCCATCATGTCAATCTGCACTGATTTAGGTCACTGCACTTGTGGTCCTCAAGGAAGAGGACTTATCTAAATAGCTTTTAAAGGGGGCTGGAGCAAATTGATTTTTTTGAGGTTGTTTGCTGATTATCATTGTTGTCTTTGGTTGTGGAAGAGCACTCATGTCTGCTTAGTGCCCGTTTGAAATGCATGGCAAGGGACCAGAAATCAATGTCCCTGTTTTAAGACCTAAATACACGGCTGAAAGCTTCGAGCCGGGATGAAAATGCCCTGATGGAACAGGAGGACACTAAGCCTCGTTTAGCTAGTACATGGGCTGATAACTCGCCATGATCTGTTTGGCAAGGGAAATAAATTCTGTATCATGGGGAGGAGGGGGGAAATCCCCCATTCAGTTGAAACTTTTTATATATTTATTGTATTTTACCCTGCTTTAAAAGGACAGGGCAGCAGCATATATAGAAGCTCAAAGCAAGCAGCTTCAAATCAGATCACACAGGTCACGTGTTATCTATCGGACATTCCTGGAGTCATGGGCTGTGTAAACCGTGAAGGTAACAAATACAAAAGGATGGAAACATGCATGAGAGAGAGCAGAGTGACCCCTTAATCCGGAAACACACACACTCACACGCCAAGACACACATTTTTGGGTGTTGTTTGGCTGTCATTACGTAACATCAATATTGTGTCTGCAGCAGCCCAGCACCTCTCTAAGCCGCTGTTTCGGTAGATGTGTGTGACATTGTGTGCCCCTGAGGTTCTAGCTCAGTGTGTCCATCTTTGTCAGTGATGTACAGATACACACATGCGCACGCACGCATGCACACACATAACTAAGCTAGCAAGGGAAGTATGCGCTTCACTTGAGAGGTTTATTATTTCATTGTCAAAACCATTGCATTGCTATGAGACTGATGCTATATAGTTCTAAACAAAGGTGAACATCACAAATCTTTCAGGCTTTTACATAATTACAAACAACCCCCCACGGAAAGAAACAGGGCAACTATTAACACTGTGTTGTGAAATAACCCAAGATGGCAATCGATTAAAAACAACGGCAGCAGCAATACTACATTGATCCTTATCTACTGTTACATGAGTTGGATGGCTGAACCCAGGAGCAGTCAGATGAAATGGCGTAAAAGTGTTTCATCACTCCTCTCGATGAATAAATCTCAAAAACCTGCTTGGATAGAAAATTTAATTGCCTGCAGGTCGACATCAGCTTCTACAGCCCTGACTAGTAAGAAAATGGTTTTCTTCACCGGCACAGATTTACTCAATTGGCTGCTTGAAATCCGAGTGGAGTGACCATGTTGCGAGGTCAGGTCTGGCCACAGTGTGAGGTCTGCAGAGTGACTTTATTTAATGCTGTCCAAATGCCAGTGGCTCCCCTGGGCATTTAGGAGACAAGCTCGAGGATTGCCGCTCAAGTGCTAAATGAACAGCATCTGTCCGGTTGCCAGACATATACACACACAGATGGGAAGAAGAGGAGGAAGATGAAAGCGTTTGGTGTCCTAAGAGTGAAACCGACCAGTTGTTTGAGCTAGAGGCCTGGGTTTCATATGTTTTCAGTCAATTTTTAAATTCTTTCATCTTTTTTTTTGTTTGTTTTGGCAAATGTGAATCTAAAAGCCCATCTCTTTAGAGGCAAAAGAGGTGCTGGGAGAGGAGTGAATGAAAGGGGGGCCCAGCAAAGGGCCCACTGAGTCCTGGGGGTGTTGGGAGTGGCTGAATGGCGCTAAGGGGTTGGCTGGGAAGCCTGGGGGTGGAGTGGTGGGGGACGGTAGGAGGGCAAATTGAGCTCAAAAGAGGCTGGATTTAGAGACATCGTGCTGTCTGCTTAATTGAATTTCTTGTGTGTTGACCCCCCCCCCCCCCCCCCCCCCCCCCACACACACACACACACACACACACACTCTGGGGATACATGCTGTTTGTGTGTGTGTGTTTACATAGACAGGGTGTGCGGCGTAGTGTGTAAGGAGTATTGAAGTCTTCTGTTGTTAAGAAGACAAAAAATAAAAGAACAGCAGGGACTACATTGAGTACCACTGTTTCATAAGTTATAGTAGTGACTTCTATTTCCAGACTTCTCAACGTCGGCATTCGCTTTTGGTGGTCTGGAACCCAATTCCAGTCAAAGTCCGCCTGAAATATGATGCTGTCATAGAGCTCTTGCATTAGGCCCCCCTATATTGCCATGCAGAGTAAGTATAACTGTGTGAGATTAAGACAGAGTGGCCAAGCGGGAGCAGGAAAGTGCTGCTTTGACATTGTCCAGGTGAACTGATAAAGATCCTCTCTACAATAAAGCTGGTTGACCTTTAACAGACCCTCACACATTCTACTGGCCTTTTAGCTGCCAAATGGCTTTAAAGGTTTCTAACTCGGCAGAGAACGAGGTTTCTCAGACATGGACTGAGAAAGAGGATATATCCAACTCTAGTCAGTCAGTGTAAGTTACCGTACCAATGGTGATGTGAGTAAGGTCATTGCATGTCCATGGACATCTACACTAATGCAAGGAAATAAAACATGCAGTAAATAAAACATTGATTTAGTAAATGGGTTTTAGTCCTGCGTGCTAGGACAACTGAAGCTAAAGTTCTAGCACATTTTGCAGCCAAGGTGGCTTTATCCTTCACATTCACGTATGTGTGTGTTTGCCAGAGGCCAGGGAGATGTTCTATCAGGCCAGACTTCTGTTGACTGCTCGAGATGGCTTCCTAAAAAGGGGACCTTCCTTCTCCCATACCTAAAGGCTTGGTCATACTCGCATTTAAAACAGCCCCATTTGGTTTCCCTCTTCAGTAAAACCCTTTGTGGAATAAAATGGTTCACAACCCCAAGAACAAAAGGGGGAGTAAACACAAGCACAGTACAGAGAAAATAGAATGAAGCTCAGGGAGCTATTGTGACTGGCTAGTGCTAGTAGGCCTATGCTACATGCTAGTATGGCTAGTGTGTTAGCGGTTAGCTCCCCAGCTACAGTAGTTATCCAGCTAGCCCTGTGAATAGCCACTACATCGCCAAGCTTCTAGAACCAAATATTTTGCAAAGACGCACGGAAGATTATCTCTGTGCCGCCTTACTACCATAAGTCTGCCAGTCTACATTCAGCTGCACATGTCTCTCAGAAACCAGTTGGATAGGTCAGTGATTCATCAGAGATTAAGACTTGTAAGCGCTTCAGCACAATGTGATCATTTGAATTTGATATGTTGTTCTTGCACTGGCCTCCTACATTTGTTGTCTTGAGGAAATTGTGCTGTTCCTAAGAAGCCTTCCTGTGTTTAACCTACTCTGTTGAGTCACCCTGTAAACCCATTGTACCATTTAGGCTCAAATTAGGTTAAAATGAGTCCTAATTAACTCACAGAAAAGTCATAAAATTGCATGTTTAAACTAGAGTTTTCAGTACCTGGCCTTTCCATGTGTTTCTTAATATATAAGGTGCGTATTGGTAATTTAGAGGATTTTCTCTCTCTCTGTCTGTCTTGCTCTCTTTTTTTTTTCTGTTTCCTTTTCTTTTACCCTTGGGGAGGGAGGTGACCTAAAAGCTCACTACAAAACTGTAGAACCAGCCCTCCCAGTTGGCCCACCAGTGTGTGTGTGTGTGTGTGTGTTTCCATCATGCTAATGCAAATTAGTCAGCGCCTTGATATTCACATTCATCTGTGAATGCATAAGTAAAGTCTTGAATGAAAAGATCTACTGGGGTCACTTTTTATGAGAAAGAATCAAAGTCCATGTTTACTTTGTGTAAATCATTGCAAAGTTTTTGGAGCTCATTTATATTCTTCAAAGAATCAGCCGGGCCTACTTGTCTTTTTCTTAAATAAACATCAATCACTCACAGCCAGTTAGTTAAAGTGAGCCTTGGCGTTTCCCTGTCTGAGCTCCTTTCTCGTTTTGAACCAGAGGATCAACAACACAATGGTGTTTTCATCTCAGCCGTGGTTTCAAGTCATTGTATGGCATGTCTGGGGGGGCAGGAATAGGATGTTTCTGTCACTGATATCCTGTTTGTCCACACTCAGGTTCATGTTTCTGTGTTCCAAGAAGCTGACTTGGTTTCTTGTAGCCTCATGCGAATGGTTACATTGGTACTATTCTCATAAAGGGCATAATCAAATTTACAAGAGCTACTCTTGGTCAACGGAAAATAATAGCTCTAGGAATTTTATGATTGCGAAAATTAATGGGATCGCATTAGGTCATGTTAACACATGGGGTAGAAATTGCAGCCCTTTTTTGATACCTACTGTTCTTCAGTATTTAGTTTTTTAGTTTGCCAATTACTCCCAAAGACATGTCGAAATGGACACTTAAAATGTTCTTTCCCCGGAGCACAGCATGGGCTCTCTTTGCACTCTCTGG